TCAAGACAGGGATATGTTTCTGTGCGTTGTTGGTAGCCGAACTAATTTAGAGTTCAGGAGGTGCAGCTGTTGATAGGAATACTCTCAATTTTCATTTCAGTCCTTTGCAAGACTTTGTTCTGTCTGGTACACAATTTTATTTCTGCATAAGCCAATTTATTTATGAATTTATACATGTACATTTTTGTTTAAATACGTTCATTTTTAAACTTACATAAAAAATAAAAAAAGGTAACAACTCCTGCTACATTTTACTTCTTTCAATAGTTAAACAACAAACTTTTTCTAAAATAACTTGCATATATTTTTTAAATGTCTCTTATGGCTTAATTAATAATTAGTTATTAAAGTTTGGTGCACAAAATAAATGTTTTAAACGGGTGTTTGCTGTCGCGCTAATTCGTGACGTCATTTAGTGCTATTGAGGATCGAGAAGATGAATGAGGTGGATAGGACGGCTAGCAAGCATGCGAATGGCACGTAATAGGAATCATTTTGCTTCGAGGCTACTCGCATGCGCGTTTATTTAGATTAGGTTACCTCTCGTCGACATGAAAATAGTATATTAGACGGCAGACCAGTGTTCCCAACCCTTCCCAATAATTTAATATTAAACAATTATTATTAAAAACACATAAATGCCACGAACAATTTCAAAGACAAAATACGAAAAAGACTTATTTAGTAACGAATACATCTTTTTTACTATGCTTCGCGTTCAGAAATTAAATTGAACATATAACAATTCAAATTTTTAGTCTGCATGGAACTTCAAATATTGCACTTTTATTACATACTATTATTTACAAATCCGAAATCATGTCAGAATTCAAATTCAGAAAATTAGATTAGAGATAGATAGATATCTGTCATAGTGATTTGTAGGTATAATAGGTAATAAGAATATTGACAGCAGGTTACCAGATTGGGTTGGGTCAACTAACATATTGGAACACATGTTGGTAAATCGATGACACATTTTTTAACTTATCTAACTTATTTTTTTAACTTTATTTAATTGAATTTCTCCATATGCCTTTAATTTATTACATATTTTACAAAAAAGTAAGGATTCCCACGGAAGTGGAAAAAATTCCTCATTCCCACATAAGGTCTAAAATTCCCATGAATCGGCAAAATCCCACAATTTCGGAACGCGGCAGACGGCCGAGAAGTGGGTTGTGTTCTCCATCGCACTAAATGACGTCACAATGCGTTCTTGTCATCATATGAGAAAATTTAAATTCTTACACAATTTTAAACATTTATAATTAATTCGTACCATCAAAGAAATTATTTTTTTGTTCACTGTTGATTGTTGTTAATTATAGACTAAAAGTATATGCAGTTCTAAAAAGATAATTTTCTTCAAATTGCCTATTTTCATCTAATGAAGGCGTAAATGCTCTTTGACATAAACTAAAAAGTAACCTCAAAGACAAGTCTGTCCAGTAGAACTACTGTTACGATTGTAATTTTTTGTATATACAAAATGATTCAGAATTTGTGCACATACTTTCTTTTGATATTGGTATAAACTGAAACACAGGCAAATAATATTAAAGATTTTGTGTTTTAAAATTTATTGTACCTTGTACATATAATATTTGTGGTGTAAGGCTTCTATTATAAAGGCAACTTTTTGTCTGATGAATATTTATATATTATATTCGTTGTTAATTATTTATATTCCTTGTCACTTTCGACTCTAAGGTAATCTTTTAGCCGATCTAGCACTTTCTCCTGTCCCTTTTAGGGTAAATTATTAGATACGACTGGTAACACTGTCTCCGCATTATAAATTCATAAATGACCGGCACACTATAATTAATTTAACGTTCTTAATAAATATACATTATCATAGATTTTTTACGAAGCAGATAAATAAATGCCTCTAGATTAAATCCTCAAGTTCAATTTTCAAATAATGAATTAACGGACCGGATCACGCATTACGTTTCACAAATCATTACGGAGACAGTATTGCCGCAATCGAGTTAGCTAAGTTCAAATGTTATCGTAACATCAATAAGTTATTTATTGCATATTAAATGTGGAGCTTGTACGTGAGTACGATTTTAGTTCCGCACGATTAATTTTAAGCAGTTAGTTACACTTAAGGCGTTCGGTAGCAGATAGTTACTTTATATGAAGGAGATAGTTACGCGCTAAATGATAAAAATGCAAATACGGCGATTAATAACGTAGGAAGGGTACATAATGGCAAACATCTTTAAATGCGGTTGTTGTGGACGTTCCTCGACGAGAAATTGATATTAGTGTTATTATAAAATACATTAGATTTAGATTAGAGAATAATTAAGGCGTACCCTTCCCAGAAGTAATCCTTAAATCATTAAGTATTTGCAACGACATAAATCATACGGGTTTCCCAGAAAACGATGAAACGTAATAATACCCAGAAAGGGATTTCATTTAAAGTATTTATAAAAAAATGCGAGTGATAAAGGAAACTTAAATTGAATTATTCTTGTACGTTTATCAATATTTTACTAGGAAAAATAATTTGAAGCAGTAACATTTTGAGGTTCTCGTTTTGTGCAACTCCAATGGTGTTTGAGGCCAATTTTATATTAATGAAATCAATTTTTTAGTCTATAGGTTATTCCAGAATAAGTGCCAAAACTTTAACCACATATTAACAACTTTTGCCTAATAAATTTTCCCGACAATGCACTTTAAGTGCGGCGTCTTGTATCTATTATATTGTATAATGCTAACGAGTTGCCTGTGAATTAAAGAAATTCCAGGTTTTTATGAAATGATAAAGTACTAGCACTAATTCCTATTTGTATGTGCTTCTTTATGTTAATTCTATAGCTTGCGCGCAAAAGTTACATAAAAACTTATGTATGTATTTACTTTCAAAACTAGATTTTTTTTGAAAACTGTTATTAGACAAAAGGTGCTGCCTTGTGCTGTGATGAGGTAAATGCATGATTAAAATTTTGACACTTATTTCTGGACGCCCTGTATATTATTCCTCAGAGAAAAGCCGTGCCGCCAAAATTTTCCAGTAGAATATGAAAATTGATAAAGCCTCCCTCTCTTTTTAATGTTAAACGTTTACATATGCCACACCGTTTGAAGCAAATATCATCTACAGCATGTTTATAAGCTTGGCGATTTAATGGTAAATAAAATGCAATAACAATAGCACCGATTCAATAACGCTAAAACCGTAAAATGTTTTAAAAAAACTTATTGAGAACCCCTGAAATCTTCACCGACCCACGTATTACATAAAAAGAGGCATTGACGCAAATAGAGTGTCGTACGCTTTTTGTAGTAAAAAGGCTGATTACACAGGTCAACAAGGGTCAAAAAGCAGATAATATGCATTCCCGAAGGATTTTGGTGCGCTGGATCCGAATCTGGCCGCAGAATTGCTCTATCACGTCAGGATTTTGAGATATCCTAACCTAAAAGTGCAAAAAACACTGTTTTTCGTCATATTTGAGGTTATGTAGTAATGCCATCTATTATTTAAAAAAAAAATACATATAATTTCAAAGTACAAGACTCCCTCTTTCGAATCCGTTGAGTTTGCTCAAATATCTTTTTTTTTTTTTTTCGTTGAGATATCACATGTTGAAATTTCTAAGTTTATCAGTTTCTTAATATGCGAAAATCTACTAAGGATCCCTTAGACATCAAGCAGTCGATTGCAATTCAGAAACTTCATACCCATACGGTTTGTGGGTTTGGAGTTGGTGGGCTTGGGGTTTGTAAGCTTGGAGTTTGTAGGTTCGGGTTTTGTGGGATTGGGGTTTGTGGGTTTAGGGATTGTGGGTTTGGGGTTTGTGGGTTTGTGGATTTGGAGTTTGTGAGTTTGAGTTCGTATGTATTGAAGGTTTCTGAGTATGAAGTTTCTGAACTGCAATCAACTGTTTGACGTCTAAGGGATCCTTAGTAGATTTTCGCATATTAAGAAACTGAGAAACTTAAAAATTTCAACATGTGATATCTCAACAAAAAAAAAAGATATTTGAGCAAACTCAACGGCGTTCGAAGCAGGGAGCCTTGTACTTTTAGATTCAATGTATTAGTTTTTTGAAAAAGAGTAGATGGCATTACTACATAACCTCAAATATGACGAAAAACAGTGATTTTTGCACTTTTAGGTTAGGATATCTCAAAAACCTGACGTGATAGAGCAATTCTGCTGTCAGATTCGGATTCAGCGCACCTAAATCCTTCGGAAATACATATTCAAGTTTCTGCTTCCAAAAAAAAGTTAAATTTTGTTGTTGGTCTGTGTTTATTAGTTCAACAGTCCTACTTTAGTTTTCATTTCGGACACGTGTGTTTTTTCTCGTGGAAATTTTTTTTCTATTTTTTGAGAGGATAATGTGCCGTGTATATTAATTATTAAATGCAAATAAACATTGTAATAGCCCATCAATACAGTAATAATAAATTAATGAACATGGTGAGAACATATGGAGTCGCTGATTAAAACTACAGTTAACTTCACATCTTTATGTATGGCGAATGTAAATAGAGCTGGCCGAGCTATCGATGATGTCAGCAGTTCCAAAAATATAAAGAACCACATTATTGTAATAAGTCAGTAGGTATTAAAAAAATATATATTCTATTTGCAAAAAATATTTCTGATAATTGAGGTTCTGCACTTCCGATTTATTTACTTTTCAAAGATCCTGTCCAGGTCTGTAACACTTTGTATATACATTTAAAAGACGACTGTAACAAAAAGACCGAGAAATTTTGTAATACGCCTATAAAATGATTTTATATTAAAAACAATGTTAACTGAAAATTAAATATTTAACTGTTTTAGTGAAATTGCGATAAAACGATAACAGATAAACGTACTTAACCTAAATTAAAGTAATATCACATAGACACCGTTTTAAAATATGTTTGTTTTAAAGAGAGCGCATTTTGACTAACAGCTCTTGCATGTGCGCGCCATCTCCACAAGGTATTGATCATTAAAAACCGTGATCACCTACCTGTCGTAACATATTGTTGTTCCCCGAAGAAGTAGAGGTCTTGGGCGGTTCCGACGGTCCGGGCATCATGGACCCCCTACTCATCAGCCCCCTAGGGCTACTCCTGTTGTCGATCTTATTACTATCTTCGTCCTGCTGGTTCAGCAACTCCTTCAATATCCTATCTCTACTCTTATCCGCCTCGTTGGCGGTCTCCACGTTATTTGGCGGCTTTGTCAACAGAATCCTTAACCTATTGGAAACGACGGCCTCCTCCAAGGCGTTACCTTTGGTATCCTTCTGCTCCTCCATGGGGTAGTTCTGCTCGTTCAACGGGCTGAACGGAAAGGTGTTGCCGTAGGGGTTGGCGGGGGTGGAGGGGTTCGGCACGGTGGGGCTCGGCTGGGTGCCGAAGTGGGACAGGGGAGAATGCACGACCGTGGGGGCATTGCTGTACGAGGGGTTGCTGGGGGGCCGGGGGGTGGGCGTCGACACCGGGGTGACGCTCTGGCGGGAGTCGGGCCGCGCGTCCTGCCAGCTGGTGGGTTCCAGCTCCCAGGTGGAAGTGGGAAAGATGTCGAAGTTGAAGTCGTTGTCGAGGTTAAAAGCTGTGGTGAAGGAGGTGGTGGTGTTGGTGTTGAGGAGGGTGTTGTTGGAGGTGGTGGTGGAACTGTCGCCTCCGGAACACACGGGCGGGCCGTTGCGAGTGCCGTTCACGACGCTCGTCATCAGAGGGCCGCCCACGCCGCCGCCGCTGGTGTTACCGCCGCCCGGGTCGGTGGGTCCCACGGCCTCATTTTCACTGGAAACAAAAACCGGACGTTAAACTAGCACTTCCACCATATATTTAACAGATAGTTATAAAAATATAGGTATCTAACCTTACTCACAGTCGATTTTGTACGGGTGGACCAAATTCAAAACTTTTGAGGGGGTTTCTCCTATTTCCGAAATAGATCGAAAAAAGTCTGACTGTTACGGATTCGATTTTTGAAAAATGTCGAATGGCGAAAACCACATCTTAATATCTTCGAAGATATAGGGCGTTTTTCAATTTTGTTTAAGGAAATATTCGATTTTTATACTTAAAAAGGTTTTTTTTACGTAGTTTTTGTTATGTAGAATCTAGTGGTCTACGCGATATTTTTCTATAACTTCCCGTTTTTCAGTTATAACACAAATTTATATTTTTGAAATGCAACTTCCTATGTATTTTTCGACTTTTGAAATAAACTTATAATTTCAAATGATGTATTATACATATTACAGAGATCTAATATTTTCATAGACAGAAAAGTTACAGAGCACTATAGGAAACGACCAACATTGAAAAACGCTTTGTATCTCTTAAAAGAACCGAGATATCAAGATACGGTTTTGCTATTGAAATTTTCTCGAAAATCGAGGTCATGCCGTCTAAGCTACTTTTTCTTTAAATTTTCGGGAAAAATAACAAACCCCCCAAATGTGCAGAATTTGTATGATTTCCGAGCTAATCTAGTATTTAATCATTGAATATTTATTTCAGTGAAATACTATAAAAAAGAAACGTAAAAGCATCGGGCCCGTATCTGAATGTGTTATGTCCAATAATAAAATTATCAGAATTCTGTCATTATAGAGTTAGGTAAAAATTCATTCATACTCATATTCATAGTAAAAATAACAAAGTATCTAATGCAAATGCGATCATCCCCATGCAGATAAGGCAGATATTTGCAATTGTCGAATTACATAGTTGATAATTACGTTTTATTACACTGTTTTTTTTTTTCATCTTCAAAAACACCGTACCACCTTCTGAAGGGGGTACTAATGTTGCTTAAATTCGAATAACTAAGAATAATGAAATGTGGCATAAAAGCGTTTTTCCACCTCCAGGAATAATCCTAATCTCGGGGATGTAGATGTTTCTAAAAGCTGTTTTACATTGACAATTTATTGATCAATTAATTGATGAAGTCGCTTCATCAAGAAATTGGACAAGTGTAATGCATCAAATCAGCTGTCAAATAACTTCATCAATTTATTCATCAAGTTCTTGACGAATTAGAGCATGTTCTAATTTTCGCCAATTTCTTCGTGAAGTTCGGAAATACCAACCGAACAGATTTCCAGCCTCAGATCAGTAATGAGGTTATGTTATATGTAAATAATTATGTGGCGTCGTGCTAGTTTTGCATTGTTTTTACTGATTTGTTATTTACAAAAACTAATATTTATATAATATGTGTCGAACGGTACCGCTGTTGTATTACTACAATTAATTATGAGTGGAAAGGTGACATTTTTGAAATTTATTTGCTTCTTTGATTTATTGGTAAAACTGATTCATATGTCAAAAAACTTGACAAAGTCTGTAGCAGTGTAAAACCACACTATTTACACTATTTACCAATAAATTGTCAATGTAAAACAGCTATAAGGATGAAAACAAAAAATATTTGATAGTTAAGTAAAATTTGTCAAACGATGTCGTCAAAATTTGAATGTTCTATATTGATGGAAATTGTGACATAATTATAAAAAAGTAATATTAATAATATAAACATATAGCAGGTAACCAATTAATGTAATTTATGCATATATAGGTTGATTTTTTATTCCAAAGAATCTTTACACGTGGGGAAAACAGCACCGATCTAACTTTGTGCGTAAGGGTCCTGTATTCGAACATCTTTATTTATAGGTTATTCTAGAAATGGTACCATAAATACAGTGGCTGACAGTACATTAAAAAAATTAAACGATTTTTACCTCTAGTACGTGGGGTGGCAAAAAACAATGTAAGGTATTGAAGCTTCGAACAAGTATATTTTTGAGGATGCTAAATACATCAGTATTATTAGCTTTTGACTATTTGCTAGAGGTCACTAGCTACAAACTTTATTCAATGACATTTTATGTAAAACTTTTTGAGGTTACGTTTCTCACGGTGTGGTTGTTTGAGAAAAACGCCAGGAACAACCATCAAACCCACAGGAAGCAAAATAAATTTTCAGACATCATGTATATTAAGTAGAAACTAAACAACTAACCTTAAATAAATTACCTTACAAAATGTCACTAAGAACAGTTCAATCAAAGATTAACAACACTAATACATTTAGCATCCTCAAAGACTATCTATAGAAAATGTCAATGCGTTATGCCGTAAAGATATGGCTAAAATTTACCGAATATCTCAAAAACAAAATACGATAGGTTTATAGGAAAAAAATGTTTTTTTGTCATTCTATCAGTCCTTGTATTTGTGGTATGTTAGAGTTAAATCCTGAATTTTTAACGGATCGTTGACGTTGTCGCACCGGATTTAACTAGGACTTAGCGTAAAACTGACTCCTGGCTAGACTTTACTACAATAAAACGTATTTGAGGATGCGAAAGTTTGTGTTAATGAAAGGGAAATAGGCCATTTAAAAGTTAAAAACAGTTATAAAAACGAACTTCGTTCAGCGTTACACGTAAAATCTGACAAATGTCTATATTATTACGGGTTTTTACATAACACAAACGATATGAGAGGTCGTTAAATATTGAATGAAACGAAATGCGGCGTTATCTATACATTTTCTCACTAGAAAAAAACTGTGTGGATTTAAAAAGGAGATTATTAAGTAGTGCAATTGTATAGATTGCTGGTTTGTAAGCGTATGGAAGTTACAGTTCTTTGCGACGACGTTATAGCAGTAAGTAGTGAATGGAGTGGCAAACCTGTAACCAAAAGCCCGTTATCACAAAATTCACAGGGCCACGTCCCACTACTCCTCGAGCAAGGCCGATCGTTTCCAAAGATTTCGCCAAATAGTATGGCAGCTTGTCGTGGTCAAATAAGTAACAAACAAATTTACGGGCGTCGGTCCGGTGGATAGGATTCACTGCACGCAGCGCGATTCGAAAACTACTTCTAAACATTTTAAAATAAGTGATTTACGATTCCTGTGATAGTCTCCAAATAAAAACTGAGTAGAGATAAGGCAACAATAATAGGCTAAATAAAGACAGATAAGCTGAGAGGGCGTTTTATCAGGCAGTACTCACCCGATAATAGAATGCGTAGCCATGATGAAGTCGGTGTCGTTACTGGCGTGAGGAATCGACTTAAACAGTTTCGACTTCGTCTGGACCTGAATGAATTTGTCGGTCCCGATTTGCAAGCGGTATATAGCACTAGTGGACTGGCCGGCACTGACAGTTTCCCTAAGATGGGCGTTGATTTTTTGCACGTCCTGTTGCGAAACCAAGTCCCTGAGCACACGGTTTTTGAGGTCCTTCTTAATGTACTGCGCGATAGTCTCCGACACCCCGGAAGTGTCCACGCAAATTATCTTGCCGGTGGTGTCGAGCTTAGTGGTGAACTGTTCGATGCTACAAGAAGTCTTTTCCCTGTGAGATATCCGACTAGCGATGCACAACAAACAGGGTCCATTATCACTGCCGTCTTCCTCGGACACTGACACTTGATCCCTCAGCTGGGTACTGGAGATGTGCATCAACTCGTAGCAGCTGACTCTCTGCTGCTTCTCCTCGACGCTCTCCTCCAGCTCATCCGGAGGCTTCACAAGCAGCCGGATGTCGATGGATTTCGACCGGTTAGTGGGCTGCTGCTCGTTGCCCCATTCAATCATAGGCAACAGGTTGGAGTGGAATTTGGCGTGGTCTCCATGGTGGATGAAGTTATAGATACTCTTCCCGAGGATGTCCTCCCTGGTGAACTTGATGTAGGTGGAGACGTTCTCGGTGACGTGCTCGACCTTGCCCTCGCCGTTGACCACGAACAGAAAGCCCTCCAGGACTTCCAGTAGGAGGGGCCCGTACAGTTCGTTGGAGAGGATAGTGGGGCGCGACGACGACACCTCGCCCTGCTGGACGGGATCGGTGGATTGGGATGCGCTCTCTTGCTGCTTGATGCTGCGAATCTGGTTGACGGTTTCTTGGAGGATTGCGCACTTGTCAGGCTTCACCGACAAAGAGCTCATGTCCGCGAAGTTGGCTGAAATCAACTCTGCCAACTCTTCTATGTAGATGTTCTCTTGCTCACGGCGCCTCTTCTCATTGTTACATTTGTTGCTGGAACAAAAAACATCCGTCATTTTGTGGCGGCTACAAGGTTGTCGAGGTGACACGACAACTCGAGCAAAACTGAGTGATTTTTTTGCATGCACACAAGCTGCCGCTCGGCAGAAAGAAGCACACCTCAGCGTATTTCGACAGAACTCGCTAGTGGGGTACGGGACGGGACAGATATACCCGCTGTGAACTACTATCGCATTACTGTGTTCGGGCGCGTACGTCACATCTAAATAAAATATAACTATTATGCAACCCGAAAACAAAGCGGTCGCTGTAATATTAGCACCACTGACATACTATAGAAATCAACTTTTGACTCATAATAATACTATATTGGGAAAATATTTATTTAAAAAAACTAAGCCATCATACTCTTTTCATTTTAAGTGACCATAAGTCATTTTATTTTTGATATATATAAAAGCCTACCAATAGTTGCAAAAGATTAATATTCCACTAACATATTGTTTGCCATATAAATCTATGCTAACAGATTTACTGACCTATTAATTTTTATTCGGAAAATTCCCACAATTAAAGCTGTGACGTCGTAGGATATATACATACATATATCTGATAGTACTAAAATTAATGTACTACGATAACGTTTTCACTTTATTATCTTTTGTTTATACAGGGTGGGTATAAAATTAACAAACTGGCAAGAATTTCCTCAAAAAAGACGGGATTTACTTAGGAAAAAAATCGGTAATAAATTTATTTGCGTATACAGTGCCGGCCATTATTGGATTACAATTCGGATGAGCATAATATAACCTAATTGAAATGTACTTCTTATAGATAGTTTAAGTTCAAGATTATGCTATGCCTATGATATGGCTTATGCTGTTTCCATTTAGGTGTTTTCCCCCCAAGATACACGGTGTCAAAATAACAATTAAAATAAAAAACACATTTGTAAGATTAAGTTGAAATTTTGCACATATTTTTACCTTAAGCCGATCCATTTTTTTTGTATAATTGTTAGCAATAAAATAGACAAATAGAGGTTTCTACGTACGTCTATGGATTAAGGATGTTATCTTTTAGATTCCACTGCTACAAAATTTTGTCTAAGGATTTAGCTCAGTTACGGTAGCTGAAAATATAGTAATACCTCCGAATTTTTTATAACTGCATCGATTTTTCTCAAAATTTAGAATTAGGCTAATCTTACCCCCCACGTCAAAACTTATGTATGCGCTAGGTGTGCTTTTTGTTATTAAGGGGTGAAAACCACCCCTTATTGGAAAAAAAAGAAAAAATACAAATTTAAGCATTGTATGTAATCAAATCTTTTTTATTTATGCAGTATGAGTAATTTCATGTGCTATCTAACATGAAATTTAATGTATCCCAAATTTTCAACCCGGAAAAACCTTTAAAATCCACCCCTTTGGATGAAAATAATATAAACATTTTTTTTTCAGCTTGAAACGTTTTAATCATGCATTTTTATCAAATTAAAATTGATTTCTTGATTAAAAAATCTTTTTTATCGATTGCAACTTTTCGACCCTTGAAAAATACCCCTTCTTCCGAAAATAAAATGAAAAAATATTATTGAAAGAGTAGAAACATTTTAAATGTGCATTCGTAATAAATAAACATTTATTCCCTTCTTATAAAATAATTTTGAATTGATTGCAAACTTTCAAACCTTAAAAATTACCCCTTACATTTATTTATATATTTATATATTTTTTCCTAAAATTATCACCTATACACGTTTTTATTTTTTTGACGATAACTTTCTTACTTTTTAAGATTTTTAATCGCACAAAGGCTCATTTTGCAGGGAATTGTAAGGGCTACGTGAACTGTTGAGTTGATTTTTTTAAGCCCTTCATTTTTAAGTTTGAAGGGTTTAAAGGGCTCGAAAAGGGTGGTTCTCCCATTCATATAATAACTTAAAATGGCGATATCTCGATTAATATTAATTTTAGAGGAATAATAAAACTGCAAAATTTTCAGCAAAAATAAAGTTAAATTTTTTTACTCTTGTATTTTTTTCGTACACCCTTTAATTTTTAAGTTACAGCGTAAAAATCGAATTTTTTTCAAAAATTTGAAAAATTTACATTTTCAAAAATTAAGTTTTTTTCCGAAATCATGCTTTGTAAGTGAGCCAAAGACCCAGAACATAAATGAAGAAATCAGTAAATGAATTGCATTTAATTTTTATTCTGTCGCCAAAGGCACTAATTTGTTTATTATTTATTTTTTTTTTAAACGAGATGTTATTTCATATTAGATCATATTTCCGTTAATTTTGGTTCTAAAGCCTTTAAAACAGCTCATTTTAAAGGTTTTTTAAAGTACTTTAAAAAAGGTTCAAATAGTTTTTTTCCTAATATTTATGCTTTTAGCATTATTTAACGTTGACTGGTTCCAATTTATTTTTTAGCTAACATATAATAATGTTTAAAAATCCATAACTCGGTTTATATTGCAATTAGAGAAAAACAATATAATACCATTAGATTTGTTTTTTTATTACCTTTCTTTTTGTTCATTACAACATTTTCGTTAAATCCAATGGTTTCAGAGTTATTTGCAAAAACTGTCCGAAAACAAGCACTTTTTCAGTAAAAAATCAACATTTTCAATGACGAATTACTCGGAAAGTATTGGATTATCCAAGAAACTTTATATAACATTTGTTACTTAAAATTGACTCCTCTATCGATTCCTGTGATTATTTTGGGCGTAAAAATTTCCACCCTCAAGAAGGGGTGGGAAACACCCCCAGGGCAAAAGCACACTTCGGCACTATATAAGTGTTGTTCCTCGATGCATTCCCCACATTCAGTCAAAATTTCACGTCAATCGGTTCAGTTATAAACAAGTCGGAGGTAAAAACCCTGAGTAACTGGACTAATTCAGTTTACGTGATATTGATACACAATTTCTCTTAGGAGAGCAGTATAATTATTTTTTATCCAAAGAATCAGTGGTTAATAGCTTGACCTATTTTTTTTGTAACACTCTGTATATACATAAAAGTATTCTAGATTCAATATATTTTTTCTGTGTATTTACGAACAAGTTTTACCCTTTTTGTAACATTTAGAGGAAAAGCAAGTGTAATAAAACAAAACGCTCTGCGGAACTTACGATCTGAATGACAGTAGAAAACTTAATCTGGCCTAAACGGAGAAAGAGACATCTGATGGATAGCTTAAGTATTATAAGAGCAGCAGATATCAGACCGCGAGGCATAATCGCTCTTTTAAAAGAGGCATTCGGCGAGGCATTGTGCAGTTAAGCACTTCCTAAGATTGCCGCGATTCTAGGAATGAACTGTCACAGCGATATATCTCCTCGAAAGACTCAAGTCTGCAGCCTACACGCGAGGATCTCGAATGGAAGATGGAAGGAAAGCTAGAGATCCCTCGCATCAGCAAATTCTTCCCGCTGTGACAATAGAGCTCGTCAGAAGTATCGGGTGGCACAAAAATGTTCCTATATCTCCACCTGCTACCTACATCATCTGATGTTTCCTATCTTAAAACTGTTTTATATTTATCAAAGGTAACGTAATAAATTGGTCAAGAATTATTCTAAATTCACTATTTTTTTGTGGTACTGTTTTACATGTTCCAATTTATATAGCTCACCTTCAAGGCTACAGCTTTTAAAACAAAATCAATAACAGCAAACCAATTGATACAACTTATATCAGACTGATGCAACTATGGTAACAGACACCTATCAATCAAAAACAGATGTTAAAATTGTTGAATGTAACTGTAATTAGTACTGTGGTAAAATAGGCTTAATAAAACACCCATGTTAGAAGGTTTTAGCTGACAGAGACATATAACTTTAGTCAGAAAATGTTAATTGTTGTTTAATCATGTGTCGTTGTGTTGGTTATTACTGATATTTTATTTTTTACCTAACAGTACCTTAAAAATTCCTGATGTCTTTACCAAGACTTATCAAAAAACGTCACTTTCAGAGAAATCGTATTGCAACAGAACAATAGTAAAGATAGAACCGAGAAAACATTTTATTACTCATAATCTAAAGATAAAGAGATCTTCAAACTGTCCTTACACGACGTATCAGTTATCAACCTCGGATGCAAGCACGCCTTTTGTCTCGGATTTGCATTATGTCATCAAACTAATTCTAAAAATGACGACTTGCAAGTTATTGGCACTGTTCCACCCACACCTGCTGTCAATGTAACCAAACGCTCGACTCTATACCACTTTGATTAATGAACTTTATTTACATCTACCTCATGACGTTATACGCAAAGCAACTACCGATAATGATATCATACGTTTATTTCTCAAACCAACGCAGATACCTAAAATGGTAGATGATTTTCATATATGGAGCTCCCTCGCCATTTTTCGAAGGAAGCTTACTGTGCATATTTTGAAATTTTTTCTTCAAATTCGTAAATACAATTTTCTTAAAGTAGACAGAGATGGTGTCCAATTTTCTATCATTTTCTAAGTTTTTTAGTTTTTTTTAATTTACGCAACAAAAAAAGAGGTAAAAAATATTTAGAGTGATTTTTAATGATCGTGTCGGTCGGATAAGGTCATTTTGAGAGTTTGTGAATTGGAAGGAAGTTACTGGCTGCTGTACGAAGACAAATAACTCCAACTTAGCAGATTAAACACAACAGATATTCATACTGCGGATTCATTGCAATTAAATTCAGTGTAAAACAGATTTACACTTTTTATAGTGTACCATTGGCGAAAAAAGCATAACTGTTATGGTTACAAATAACAATGATACTTTATTGGAAAGTAGAATGTTAAACTTAGGTATTATTAGTATGTAATATTGCCAAAAGGTAACAATCTGATATTTAACGAGGTTATTGAAAATAATGGTTATATGTAATTTCAAAGAAAACTTCTACAATTAATTTGTCACATATTGTATCAAAAATAAGGAAAACGAATATAATCCTCTCCCAAATCCCAAATAAAGTGTCAATTGTTTTGTAGAGAAGATAGATGATTTTTGTCGCTTTTTTCGTCGTTCTCCGTAGCCAAATCTCAACATAAACTTACACCCTAAACAGTCCAAATATTAAATGGTTTAATGTTTTGTCTTTGTAGAAAAACATTCTCGTGGAAACGGCGCTTTTAAATGACTAGATACTACTATAAGTCGTAGTTGGCACTGACCAGTTAGCAACTTAATAACTTACGAGTTGCCAAAATAAGTTCTGAACACGGAAACTTGTGTGTCAGCATTCCCCCACATTAATATTATTTTGTGAAATTCGTAACAAGATAAACAAACAAAAGGAATTGTGCTATTTATTGACGTTATTTTATTGGTACTTTATGTTTGTAATATACATAACAGAGTTCAGACACGAGTGAAGTAATGGCGTCTTCCCATGGCTCGAGATTCGGCGAGTGCGAGTGCCCATAAGTCAAACTGTCACTGTTCAGCTCAATTAGAGTGAACTCCAAGCCTCGTCTTGCCACATGACAAATTGATTTAGGAGCGGTTTGCTCGCTGAAGCTTGCGTCGTTGCCTTAACGCGAATATAAAGGCGCTTTCCCACGATGCGAGATTCGGCGAGTGAATCACCCATAAATCATCGTTCTGCTTTGACCCGACCACAACTAGCATCAACTCCAAGTTTCGTCAAATTGATTTATGGGCAGTTTGTTCGCCGAATCACGCCTCGTGTGATAGCAGCTTAACATTTAATGTCAAATTTTGCGTTTGAACGACATTCATCGGTTCAAAAGCAAGGTTCGCAGCAGGTTACATGTTATATTTGTGTTACATTGCTTGGGTATGGAAATAGTTTAAAGTTTTATGAAGGGTGTTCGAAAACGAATGACCCATGGTTCAAGGATCCATATTTGGGTGAAAATAAACCGCTTTATTAACTTACCGTAGTACCGGAGTATTTGCGGATAAATTAATTCAATTAGACATTTGTTTTTACAACTATATTTTTTTATGATTTGATCCAACTTATTAAAACGTCAATGTCTGATATATAGGTTTTTGAAAGTAGTACCGCAAAGTTAGAACATTTCTATATGACGTTGCATCAATGCAACATTCAGATGATATGTGAGCTCATTGTTGCCTAGAGTTTTTAATACATGAAATTGTCATATCTAGGGTCATATGTTGTGGAAGAAACTACATCGTTGAACTTGCCGAAATTTTTTTGACTATAAAAAATATATACAGTCGCAACATCCAAGCAACATTCAAGCAACATGTTGATGTCATATAGTGTTGTGAAGATACAGGCTTATGACTTATGAATAGGGATAAGGTTGGTTGAATCGTAAAGAAACATTGAATTTAATTGCAAATTTAAATACAACTGAAGTTTAATTAGACTGAAATACCCCCAGTCTGGTGACTGCAGTAAAAAATTGATATAATTTTTTCTCCATAATGGTGCTTTTAAGCGACATGCAACAAATACACAAACTTTTTTTCTAGCAAATAAATGCTTCACAAACTATCTGCATTTTCTCAATATTTCTATCAACAAAATTAAAAATAACAAAACCAAAAGACTACAGAGATTTTTAGGTAAAAAATAAGCTCACATTCATATCCGGTTATTCTAAAACCTCACCCATAACAAATATCATTAAAATATATTTAAAAAATTATGGTTATCTTAAAAAAAAATAAGGAAACAATTTTTTGGTGGCTATAAATTTCTAATTAAGCAAAATTTCACTAAGGTAACTTGATGAATTACTTGCTTCCTAATAGTACATATATATAATATATAGACTTTGACTTATTCTATTCCTGAACCGCTTCCCACACAAATGAAAAGAAATTACGAATTTTCTATATCAAACATACCTTTTCAGCGGTATTTTATTTTTTAAGATATCGAACAACATATCTAAAACATTCCTTCCTATATAAAAAATTTAGATTGAAAAAAGCTTTTTGGAACTGGGCTAATTGTAAAACATATAAAATAGAGCATTTCGCTAATTTTTTTCGTCCACCAGTTACAATGGGCCCCCTCAAGCAAAGTGCATGTCGCGGTATATTCCACAAAGCTCCGTCTTTCAGCATCCTCAAAAGCCTACTTGAATTCTAGCCGAGTACAGCACGGAATATAAAGGCATTCGTAAGGCAAGGGTTTAGGGAGGAAGAAGCCGGCTTTGAGCCGCCCGCCGTTCTCGCGCGTACTTACATCTGCGCCTGAGGTTTGGTCTCCGACTTTTTCCTCTTCTTGTTGACTCCGGCCAGGGCGCTCATCTTGGCCCACACCGGGTCCTGCAGATCACACGGGCCAAGCCTGCAACAAAACAATACGCGTTAGGTAAGTAAAAACGATTTTTGTTTCGAACATATTTATTTTGTTACGAAAAAGAGTTCACAGACAGTTTATTTACCTAGATACAAGAGGGATTATTCATACACGAACTATACGGTATGACTGTAGAGTTTAAAATAGAATTTGTCACTCGTCCTTAAAGGAGCATTCACACAGTGTAGGTTCAAGTACGAGTTACGGTTCGGGTTAGCACGTACGTGACAAGATCGCACGGGGAAAATTGGTTTACGAACTCTATAATAGGTACTTCTCGTGCGTCAACTAGCATCTAACATCGCCTAAGAGGCCTAATTATTTCTTAACACAAGGTAGATAGTACCCATAACGCCTTAATATACCTACGTCTGTCTTAATTTTAAACAGAAGCTAGATTTCTTATTATTAATTAATTTTAATTTCTTTTAATTATGAATAGCAATTCTGGTATAGCCAACGATTGCTAACCTAAACCTTTTGAGTAAAAGGAAGCTTAATATTGCCAAAAAAATAGAAATAAAGAAATAGAGTTATTGATATAACTAGACAGTGATAATGACAATAATTTATTCGCAATTTATCATAAAATTATATTATTTAAGTATTACATATTTATAATATTTATACATTAAACAATTATAAAATGAAACGCACTGCCTTCTTTCTATCTTTAGACCATTTAATGGAAAATTTTTTAACAAAAACAAATGTGCACTATGAATTCTATGCGTCGGTATATCGGCACATTTTTTACTACGTACCTGAACGGTAATCCACCACGCAATTACTAAATCTATTATCAGTGTCACAAGCGGCCACAGTTGTAACAACATTCGGGGTATTTCGCGCAAAAACAGCAACGCTGCGCGTTTTTACTCGCGTTTCAATGTTAGAGATTTCAAAACAATGCAAATCTACGTGTCGAATTCCCGCAGTGGATTGTTTTTATTAAAATTTGTTGTTAAATGGCGTGTAATAACAGTAGCGAGTGGCTTATGCAATGTTTCAACAATATCGCAATAATTCCGCCGCAACTGGGTTAGTGGGCCGATCGATTATTTTAAACAATTTATGTGGAACGAGGGAACCTTTGGAGTCAAACAATCACGTGCGGGTCGGAAAGTGTTCGGGTTTTTAAATAAATAACTTAATACGCGATATTAGGTACATACACTATGAGTTTATGAAGAAAAGAAATAAATTTTCCTATTAATACTATGAAGAGAACAATAATTATTCTATTTTTACTTCAAGTTTACCCAGACCACCGCTAGATGGGTGTAGTTACAGCTTTCCCTTAAAATCCCTGTGTTGAGTACAGCAAATCTGCAATTTGTACTCAAAAAAGCAACGCCAAATTTGAAACTGATACAAATGAACACAATAAATTATCGTACTATACAACAATCTAATTTAAATTAAAGATACACTTATTAATTTAACAGTAATAGCTGTTTTACATTGACAATTTATTCATCAATAAATTGACGAAGTTCTTCATGAATTAATTCATAAATTTATTGGTAAACAGTGTGGTTTTACACTGCTACAGACTTTGTCAAGTTTTTTGACGTATGAATCAGTTCTACCAATGAATCAAAGAAGCAAATAAATTTCAAAAGTGTCACCTTTCCACTCATAATTGTATTGATACAACAGCGGTACCGTTTTGATACAATCATGTATTAATATTAGTTTTTGTAAGTAACAAATCAGTAAAAACAATGCAAAACTAGTACGACGCCACACAATTATTTATATTTATTCCAATAACATAACCTCATTACTGATCTGAGGCTGGAAATCTGTTGGGTTGGTAATTCCGAACTTCACGAAGAAATTGACGAAAATTAGAACATGCTCTAATGTGTCAAGAACTTGATGAATAAATTCATGAAGTTATTTGACAGCAAATTTGGTGCATTACACTTGTCCAATTTCTTGATGAAGCGACTTCATGAATTAATTGATCAATAAATTGTCAATGTAAAACAGTTATAACAAGATTTGTTTGGTTAAACACGCTACACTTTTTACAAGCACTACTAATCGTTTCGCAAATAATTTTAAATTCAACGTCGGATCATTCATGAAATTCTTTGCAAAATTCTAAAATGTTAATAATATATATATAATATTGTTACTATAACGAATGCATAAAAAAAATGTAAATAAACAGTTCTTACAAAACTCTTCCAGTTGTCGTTAACGTTTAGGTTATTTAATACTAATTTGTATGAAATTCTCGACATTTAACAAAATTATTGGAATTTCTATCAGACCAGCTTGAAAGATGAATTAACATATTTATTGGTTCTTAAATAGCAATACAAAAAAAATACATAATTTTAAAATGTAAATCATATTTTTTATAATTCCATAACAACATTTAGGTGCTAAAAATAGAACAGCAATCCTCCTGTATTGTTTATAAAAGTAATGTGACTACGGATAAACGAGCTCCATTAACTGCTTAAACACTCGGAACAAGTTAACCAAACTTGTTTCGTCGTTATCCCCAAACTTTTGCCCAAGGTAAATAAATAATTTAGTAAAATAAACTTAACTGCGTTGGAAGTGAAAACAAGTATAACTCGAGGAATTGTGGGACCAAGTTTGCGACTAATATAAGAAGGGGAGACAAACTTTCGGTGTTCCCTTGAATACCATTCTCCCGAAGTTTGCTCCTTGCCGAATAAATTATTACTGGATGACCCTGCTCCCAGACGAAACGAAGGGTTAGGCTGGCCGAGGTTGAGGCAGCAGACGATTTTTATGGAGCGGGCCTACAAATTCCGGAAAAGGAAGAGAGATAAACCCGAACATAACAAGTTTTAAATTTAAAAAATTAATAATGCCATAGGTCACACAAATAGCTACTTATAATTAGAACTGGTCATTTCTAGGCTTTAGGCGTTGGTTACGTTGGTTAATTTATATGAAACCTTAAATTAGTCCGAACGGAGCAATTTCCTAATTATTAACTGCATCTGAAATTGAAGGTAAGCTAAAAAATATGGGGAACATATTTTTCTTTTATCAAAAAGAAAATGATTGAGTTGTGACGTCATTAAAAAAAATCCAAGTCCTGACCCAAATGTAGTAATTTTTAGGATATTTTAATCTATTGCAGTGGCAATATACGTACATCATTACCACTACTTTTACATCACTATAATGACACACAGGTTTATAGTTAGGGTTTGTTATAAAAAAATAATTTATTACAACTTAAAAATAATGCCTAAAATGATTTTTCAGTGTATGCTTAATTTTGACAAAAAAAAATCCTCGATATTTCCAAATATTCCCAGTAGATTTGAAATATTTTCCAGGTTGGGACGATGTAGTTCTATATTAATTACCGCTTTTCAGTGACCATCATTTCTATGTTTTTCCCACTTTTCATTTGTGATTTAGTAAAAAAAATCTGATTAAATATTTGAATATCGAATAAGGGCAATCTAGAATCTAGGCAATTGATTTTTTAAAAAACCAGATACATTCTACTATAATTTATTTTGATTGAATTTAGACTTCCATATCGAAACAAAATCAACGGTTAAAGATAATGTAAATGTTTTATTCCTTCAAATTTTTTGTCATACTTTGCAAAATGTATATCTACTATATAAATGTTATTTTCAAAAATAAAATTATTAAGAAGTTTATTTTTGGAAAGAATTATTAATGTCATTTATAAAATAAATAAAACACCACAGTTAAAAAAAATAAAATAATAATAAAGGAAATTTTTCGATTTTTTTATACCGACTATTTCGAAATGGAAATTTAGATTTAATCAATATAAATCAATATCAGCATATGTTTAAGAATTGCCATATTTAATCTAAATATTACTAATTTAGGTTAATTAAAATAATACAATTTTCTTCTAAATTAAAATTACCTGGATAATCAGGTAAAAGTATTATTAAACATTTTATTTTCTAAAATAACAAAAAATTTTTTGCTGTTATTATACTTCTATACTTCTGTATTAAAATCTATCAATTTTCTTCCAAGAGACAGAAATTTTTATATTTACAGAATCCTACCTAAAAAGATGTAAAAATCGCCAACAAACAGACATTTAATAATTTTCCTAATTTTACACTTAATGACGTCATGGACGTACATAAAACTTTAAATTAATAAACGAAAAAAATACCGATTTAACAACATATTTCGAAACTGTAGGTACATTTGTTTAAAGAAAAGTTGAAGGAAACTACCCCATTTGATACGAATTCTTTATACTTACAACAAACTTTTTACTGTGCCGCTAAAGTATAAGTAAATTAAAATTGATCTAATTTGTTTCCCATTGTGATGTTGTCTATATTTTTGGTCCTACGATGACCGTAATTCATGCGCAATAAATCAAATCTATTATCTTTGACACGATTGAACTAATAAAAACAAACCGTTGTATTGGATGTACCAGAAATTCGTATGAATTTGTAATCGTATGCATATGGATTTATTTTAATTTAACATTTTATAAGAATTCATATTCAAATTTTCGTAAAAATTCGCATCTAATATAACATATAATAATTATAACTCAAAACTCCATAATTCTGTTGATAGTTACGAGAACAAGTAGACATTCCTTGAAATACTGCACTCTGGACTCTTTTCTGATAGTGATTTTAATTTTTATCTACAAGATCAATTTAAACAACTACTGAACAAAGTAATTTTAATTGTAATCAATCACAAACAACGTACTTATCACTAATGCAAAAGACAACTTTCCTAAATTGTAAACAAAGTATCAGACAAGTTTATCAGAATAAATAGAAAGTGAAATCATTTTATTTCCAAATAGAAAGTCGAAAACAAAAAATTACTATCTAATTACTTATTGAAATTAAAAAAATGTCCTAGGTAGATATATAAAATATACACAGAGTTAACATCTGTTGTTAATAAATTTATGTTCAAAAATTATTATCACAAGTTAATAAAAAATACCTACA